AGAGGAGTTAGAAGCCTTTACTCAAATGTGGAGCACCTGTCAAAAGAGAGGGATCAAATGCATCCTGTAACAACCAAGAGTTAGTTACTCCGGCGCACACAGGAACACACTATAAAGAGAATGAAGAGGGAGTGGTTACCCCTTAAGATGCAGAGAGTTAGTTGGTATACAATAGGAGGACTCGCTGAGGAGTCTCCTGGATCTATTGGGGTATATATACTACTACAGGGTTATTTGTACATGTGTACTATACAGTTGATAGCGACAGTGGCTGATGATGTCATGGGGCCTAGCCCGCATGGCCAGCTCCACTCACTGTGTCCATAATAAGAAGAAAGGCAACGCGGCGCGAGAACCAGGAGTTGGAAAAAGGGGAAGTGCCGCGTGGCACCATGTGTGAAAGCTAAAGTACAAGGTTAAAGCGGAGAATAAAAGTAAAGGGAAAGTCCGAAAATTGTGTTATCGTAACACATCCCTTGTTAGTTTTGGTGATTCTGCATCTTTGTGCTACCTCTATATTTTCATTTCTTTCTCTATCTATCCCTCTACCATTCAGTATTGATTGTGTTCTCTATTATTTCGCCTTTGTGGCTGCTTTGTTTACCTTTGTTTGTAAAACATCGGAAAGTACTGCAGAGTCCAATGCTTCCTATTCTCTAGTTACTCACATTGGACTCTAGTTCCAGTCCCTGATTGCTCTCAGCAAGTGGTTAGACACTTCCTGTAACAACCAAGAGTTAGTTACTCTGGCGCATACAAGAACACACTATAAAGGTAGTGATGGGGGAGTGGTTACCCCTTAAGCTGCAGAGAGTTTGTTGGTAAACAACAGGAGGACTCGCTAAGGAGTCTCGTGGATCTATTGGGGTATATATATTAATACAGAGTATTTGTAATTATGTACTGTACAGTTGATAAAGTCAGTGGCTGATGATGTCATGGGGCCTAGCCCGCATGACCAGCTCCACTGTGTGAGAGAGTTGTATCTAAAATAAGAAGAAGGCAACATGGCGCAAGAAAGAGGAGTTTGAACAAAAGGGGAAGTGCCGCGTGGCACCATGTGTGAAAGCTAAAGTATACAAGGTTAAAGTAGAGAATGAAAATGAAGGAAAGGTCCGAAAATTGTGTTATTGTAACACTACCCCCTTTCTAAGGCTCGACTTCCAGGCAAGACCAAATACCGGAGGTGGTAGTTAAATTTTCGGGCATAGGTTGAAAAAGGGAATTAAAAAGTTTTGAGTCCATGCCTCTAAGCTTCCTAGGAGCTGAGGGGTTCTTAGAATAAAATTTGCGAACAGCGTTGCGGGAATTGTCCAGATGGGCTTCTGGTTCCCACATTCTGTCCTCGTCTCCATAGCCCTTCCATAGGACTAGGAACTCTAATTTGCCACGCTTCAAGTGTGCATCCACCACCCGTTCGACTTCGAACTCTTCTTCACCTTCCTGGGTGACTACAACCGGTCTGGGCCAGTCTATACGCTGTCCCGGCAGCGGCCCTTTGTAGGGTTTCACACGGCTAATATTGACCGTGGGTACTACCCTCATTCATTTTGGGAGTTCCAGCTCCACTGCGTTGGGTTTGACTTCCTTAATCCGGTAAGGGCCAATCCATTTTTTGGTCAGTTTTCTAGACTGCCGATCTTTTAACTTTAAGTGGTCGGTATCTAACCAGACCAGGTTGCCGACCTTGTAGTCAGGGGCTTTAGAGTGTCTACACTCTGCCCTGTCTTTCATCTGCTCTGCAGTTCTGAAAAGCGCTTTGTGCGTTTTGTCCAAGACAGACTTCATGTCTTTGACCTTGTTCTCAGCAGCCTCGTTCTTGCTTTTGCCAGGTTCTACACCCATTCTGGGAAGGTACAATCTTCTAACCTTGAATGGTGCTTTCCCTGTAGCCAATGACCGTTTAATATTATATGAGAACTGGGCTATCTTTAGCCACTTGGCCCAATCTGTCTGCCTGTCATTAATAAATATACGGAGGTATTGCTTCAACTCCTGGTTGAGTCTCTCCGTTTGTCCATCGGTCTGCGGATGGAACACCATTGATAACTTAGGTTTGATGCCCAGCATCCGGCATAATTCTTTTGTAAATTTGCTAGCAAATTGTGGCCCTCTATTGGAGATAACCGTTTCTGGTAACCCATGGATAGACCATACAAAATCTTTAAATAAATCTGCAGTACCAGCGGCGGTAATGGTTTTATTGGTGGGTATGAATACCACTTCTTTGGAGAAGCAATCTACTACCACCATTACTGAATCATACCCATTTGACTCGGGCAGATCTGTTGTGAAATCAACCGATATATCTTGCCAGGGACCAGCTGGTATCGGATTTGGCATAAGTTTACCGGCCGGTGGTTGGTGAGAATTCTTAGCCATGGCACATCTCAGACAGGATTTTACGTATTCCTGTACGTCTTTGACCATGCCAGGCCACATATAGTTTCTGGAGATCAACTCCATTGTTTGTTGCCACCCAGGGTGCCCAGCCACTGGAGTGTCATGATGTCTATCTATTGCCTTGATCCTTGCGGACTCAGGCACATAGATTTTGTCTTTAAAATGGAAGAGCCCGTCTTCCCATAAATAATTTTCATTGCCATCAAGGCGCACCTTCTCTTCTGAGAAGATGTCTTTCTTGAAGACTTCCAGAAGATCAGAATCCTGCCCGATTCTAACATTGGCAACCCTTGATTGGTCTATCAGGGTAACACCTTTGTTGTCATCTTTGATGCCGTTGGCATGATCCTCTCTTCTGGACAAAGTGTCCGCTTTCCCCATAGAGCTTCCAGGCTTATGAATTAATTTATAATTAAACCTTGACAAGTACACCGCATAGCGGGCCTGTCTTTGGTTCAAGTCTCGGGCCGTCATAAAATACTCCAGATTGGTCCAAATCTCAAATTGGTGTCTAGCACCTTCTAAGTAGTGCTGCCAGTGCTCTAAGGCTCTAATGATGGCCAGCATCTCTTTGTCGTAAATTTGATAGTTGCGCTCTGTAGGTGACAAACTATGTGATAAATAGGCACAAGGCCTCCAAAGATCGTCAGGGCATTTAATTGACAAAACAGCCCCAGTAGCAAAATCAGAAGAGTCGGTTTCTAGCTGGAACTCTTTGTCTAATTCTGGAAATGCTAATATGGGCGCTGTCGTACACCTGCTTAAGCTTATCAAAAGCTTCTTGTTCCTTGGTGCCCCAGTGCCAAACAATGTCCTTTTTAGTGAGATTGTTCAACGGTCTCGTGATTTTTGCGAAGTTTTTGATAAACCTTCGGTAGAAATTTCCCAAGCCAAGGAAGGCCCTAACTCCTTTGACGCAAGTAGGTTCTGGCCAGTCCAATATAGCTTGAACTTTCTCAGGGTCCATCCTGATTCCGTTCTGGCCTATTATCATACCGAGGAAGTCTACTTCCTTCACTTTAAAATTACATTTTTCGGGTTTGACAAATAGGTCCCGTTCCTGTAAGCGTCGAAGGACTTTTTGCACAATCCTGTCATGCTCAGCCTCATTGTCCGACTTTGTAAATATTAATAAATTGTCAATGTAGATGACAACACAGTTTTCCGTATCCGCAAAGATCTCATTCATCATGCTCTGGAAGGTCGCCGGTGAGTTGGTCAACCCAAAGAACATAACAAGGGGTTCAAAGGATCCTTGGTGGCACGTGAACGCGGCCTTCCAAGCATCTGTTTATTTAATTTGTACATTATTGTACCCCCATCTGAGATCCATTTTTGTCAAGATCTTGGCACCAGCCAATTTGTCTACTAGCTGACTAATCAAAGGCAGCGGATACACATTTTTAACTGTGTGCTCATTCACATAACGATAGTCCATAATCATACGCTTCTTACCATCCTTTTTAGGAATGAAGAACACCGGGGACGTCATAGGGCTTTTGGAAGGTCTGATGTAACCCTTCCTAAGCTGTTCATCTATGAAACTTGATACCTCATCTCTTTCTGGAGCAGAGAGTGGTATCATGTGTCCTTTTCTCGGTTTGAAGGTGTCCTTCAAATCTATAGCATGGTCCCAAGGCTTAGCCTCTGGGAAGTGTTCTGATTTATGTTTAGAAAAGACTTTCCAGAAGTCATGGTACTTGGGAGGTACCAGCCTCTTAATTTCTTCTTCTGGTTTTACCTCATCATCGTCATCGTCGATCTTTTCTAAATATCTGAGCTTATAAATGTGACCAGCGTTTATCTTCTCAAGACGCTCATTGTGACGGACATGATTTGGTTTACCCAAGTTCACACACTCCTGAGGGCAACGTGACAATGTGACCACCCCTGTCTGCCAGTCAATCTCAGGATTGTGTTTAAATAGCCAGGTCCAGCCCAAGATTAAATTAATCTTCCCTAGTCGGGTAGCTTCGGCGGTGACTTGTTCTCTGTGTCCTTGGTATTCAACAACAAAAGAACATTTGTGCGTGATGCAGCCACCCGCGTTAAGCGTACCGTCAACGTTATAGACGGGAATAGATACATTTAATTTTACAAGGGGGAGTCCAATTTGCTCCGCCCAGGCCTGATCTATGAAGATTCCGTTAGCACCTGAATCAAGCAGTGCGCTGGTTGGGTGTACTATGCCCCGGGCAAGGTTTTCCACACCAACGTCTAAACGGATCTCCTTTTGGAACAAATACGTGCACATCAACACACGCCTTGGGATTCCGGGAAAGGGTGGCTCCAACAAAGAAGAAGAGGTTTCGAAAGCTATATATTTTTCTATTTTATTTTACCAGAATCAAGCACCCTATTGTTTCTCTTGCTGGGGCCACGCTCCAAGGGAGACGCTGGTGCAGCGGTAGTATCATAAATATCACAGTCACAATGCTTCATACAGGTACAGGTTTCAGATAACAAATTTAGAAATTTATTTACAAATTGGGGAGCCATCTCTGTCTTTCCTTTATTGCTCATGCAACACCCCAGAGCAGGGGCCACTTTGTTGTGGTTTACTTCATTGTTCATAGGAGCGAAGGCACCCAAGTGACCTAAGCTCCAAACTCTTTTCCCTGAGCCTTCATTTCAGCAGCCTGCTGATCGTAGAAGAAGGCCCAGATTTCGTCGTATGAACGACTGGCCAGAGTCTGGAGCCGATCGTCCGGTTTTTCGGATTCTAATTGGTGCGCCTGGCGCCCTTGGTTATTTTTTTGTTGGGCGGCCTGCACCCCGTTTCTGCAATCTCGGGACATGTGTCCCTCTTGGCCACAGTTGCCCTTGAATCTGCGCATCTGTCCGCCTTGGACCGCGCTGATATCCATAGGAGCACCCTGTCCTGGCTGCAGCCCGAACAACTTGAACCCATGAGAGTGATTATGATTGTTTGATGACCCAGGGCGCCTCTGGGATTGGTTGTTTTTGGTGGTCTCGCCACCTTGGTGCATTTTGTAGAGCTCTATGGCCCTACCTATTTTCCGAACCTCCTCTGCTGCTTGAGAGAGATTCTCATTTCTCATATCCTGCAGATAGATCTGTTCTGCAATGCAAGGGTTCACATTGCGTTCCAGCAATTCTACTGCGTGTTCATTACCAAGATCCCCTTGGATGGAGAGGGCCAGGAACCGGGTTACAAAATCATCCGTCCTCATGTTGCCTTGTTTGAAGGAACGGATTTGCTGACACGCCCAGTTGCGCTCAGCTTGCGGCTTGAGATATTTTTTGATCTCTACTTTGAGATCGTCCCAGGTGGGCCACACTCCCACGTTGTAGCACTCCTGAAGTCTTACTTGGGTGTATCGACCCACCACAGGTCCTTTTAGTCAAGATAGCACCGCAGTGGCTACCTCAAAGTCATCGGCAAATGCGTCCCAGTTTGCCTTAACCCAAATCTGGAGTTTGATACACCATTCGGCAAATTGCGCTGTCTCCTTCAAAGGCGCCAGGGTCAGCAACGACTTCGACTTTCTTATTGAACTTTTTCTCTACTGAGGGGGTTGTTGCAGGGGGGTTTGCCTGTAGCTCGGCGAGTTGCGTAGTTAACGCCTGAATCTGCGCAGGCATGTTGTGCAGCAGACTGTTGATATCCGGTTGCGACAACATGTCGACTTGTTCTCTTTGGTAACATAAAAAAAAGGTAACTGGGGGTCCCCACTTGCTATCTGCGGATCAACCTCTTCCCAGCTGAGTATCGGATCTCAATCTCCGACTACCCACACTATAGTATTTGAAATTGTATATATAAAGTATTTGTATGAAACCCTGGTCCAAACAGTTGTCAGGGGGTGGTCCGCTTGTTAAGCTGTCAACCCTTCTCCAGACTGGCGGAGGCAAGTGCCCGGCCCGGTCAGAGGTATTCGAAGAAGAAGTTTTGTATGTAAATTCTAATCAACAGTGGTTCCACACCGACTGCTGAGCTAAGTACTCCCCTTAACGCTGGGGGCCGCGTATTGAAGGTATTGGTTCTTCTCCCAAAGCACTACAAGGCCGTCGCTAGGAGCGCACCTATCTGCTATGCAGGCTATTCCCAACCAATAACCAAATCTCCTTCACCCTGGAGTCCGGGTGCCCAGTGGGACTTTTGCACAATGTGCAAGAGAGTAGAAGAGCGAGTCCTAATGTAACAACCAAGAGTTAGTTACTCTGGCACACACAGGAACACACTATAGAGGTAGTGGATGGGGAGTGGTTACCCCTTAGGCTGCAGAGAGTTTGTTGGTTAACAACAGGAGGACTCGCTAAGGAGTCTCCTGAATCTATTGGGGTATATATACTAATACAAAGTGTTTGTACTTATGTACTGTACAGTTGATAAAGTCAGTGGCTGATGATGTCATGGGGCCTAGCCCGCATGACCAGCTCCACTGTGTGAGAGAGTTGTATTCAAAATAAGAAGAAGGCAATGCGGCGTGAGAAACAGGAGTTTGAACAAAAGGGAAAGTGCCGCGTGGCACCATGTGTGAAAGCTAAAGTATACAAGGTTAAAGCAGAGAATGAAAATGAAGGAAAGGTCCGAAAATTGTGTTATCGTAACAGAATGTGGAACCAGAAGATACACACTGTGCTTGAAAAACTTGGATTCAAGTGTACTTATTCAGACTCTGCCATCTATGTGTTTAATAGAGCTGATGTGCGTATTATCCTGCCTGTCTTTGTTGATGACATGACACTGGCATCCACTTCCACTTCTGCACTTGACCAAGCTATCAAGGATCTCTCCCAGCACTTCAAGCTTTGTGATCTTGGCCCTACTTCCTACCCACCCGGCATTTCCATCTCCAGAGACCTCAGCAATCGCACTATATCTCTGTCCCAATATCAGTATACCCTGGACATTCCGGAGCGCTTTGGCATGAAGGACTGCAAGCCTGTGTCCACTCCCATGGATCCTGGTTTGCGCCTCACCAAGGACATGTCTCCCAAGACATCCAGTGACGGCATAGTGGTACTGTAAGAAGATGAATGCTTGTTAATATAGATTGCAAACCATACCTGAAAGAACTGAGGTAAAAAAAAGTCTGATATAAACCAACTAGAGAGAGGCAAACAGGTGTTGTCACTATCAATGACAGTGGGTGCAAGTCCTTACATAATGACTAAGTGATGGCATGATGTTGTAGGACAATGTAAAGAGACTGAGGTGAGACTTTCAGTTGCTAAGCCACATTATCCCAGGAGTTCCACTTTACTGGCAGTATCACTTAGTGATTAACTCAAGAGGTATTCATGGTTTAGTTTATTCACAAAAATACTGGCAGTAGGTGACAACCACCACTTGTGAGCTTGGTAGCTTGCTGTACTGGTACAGTCTGATATTCATTCATATCAATAGATGGTTCCATGTAAAAGTCTGCCTGGTGGCTGGCGTTGGATTCTTCGCGGATGTGTAAGTTACAGCGTTTTCGGAAAAGCTTGTCTGCGCCATTTTTTTTCATTGCGCCCTAGAAATATTATATAATCAGCTCAATTACCAAAAAAAGGATGGCAATAGGAATCCCAGATTCCATGAAGGAGATAACAATAACCTGTGCTCTGCGGCCTGGAAAACACCTGTGTTACAGGTCTGACACAATGACATTGAGGATATGGATATGTGGTCGACCACAAAGAAGGTTGGGAGGAGGGCAGACTGAGCCAAACTGAGCTTGGTTTCTTTGCTGATAGCATGTAAGTATAAATATTGTGATCGATGGAATCCGGGATTCCGTCACCTGTCCTTTTGTGGTAATTGAGCTGATTATATAATAGTTCTAGGGCGCGACGAAAACAAAACGGCGCAGACAAGCTTTTCCGAAAAATGTAACGTACTTATGGCAACCTTACAAGTTATAGATACCGTGATGTCAAGGTGAGATAGTGGGCTGTGGTTACATTTGGGATGCATTTCTGATGTGCTGTGCCAACTGTTGTTAATCTGCTATTGGTCACTTTGATGTCAGCCTTTTAACTCCGCCTGATGATCCCAGGTCCCCCCCCCCCGGTTTCCTGATGTGAAGGCTAGGGAAAGGAATTCAGAAAAAAATTTCCGAACACGCTGCAAAGATGGAATGCACCAGCATGACACATTATATTCGAAGTCTATTTCTATAATAAACGGAAAGTGGCTTAAAGAGGGTGTGAACCAGTCACCACCTCTCTCTACTGCCGTAGTTGTCGTGGCCGCCGCCACCACCACCACCGCCACCACCGTATCGTCCAAACCCTCCGCCACGACCACGACCACCTCCACCTCCATAACGACCTTCAAAGCAGTGTTAGTAAATAGCAAGAAGAAAGTGCTACTACCCACTTCGTCCGCCACCGCCACTGAACATAGCCATCTCTTCAAGTTGGGGTGGGACGTTGGCTTTGGCCTCGCGTAAAATACCAATCAGCTCGCGCGCTGATTTTGCATTATCGGTGGTAAAGTAAGTATATGAGGTGCCTTTCATGCCAGCACGCTGCAAGAACCAAAGCAGTTAGTCAGGAGGCTAATCAATGTTTTATGATACTTACACCTGTGCGACCAATCCGGTGTATATAGTCTTCGCAATTGTTTGGAAAATCATAGTTCTAGTTAAGAAATACATCATAAGCAAAACATCCCTCGTTGGGGAATATAGGCCCACTCACGATCACATAACCAACATCCTTCACATCTTGATGATCGAGATAGTATTAAGTTGATATCCACGAAAAAGTAAGGGTCGAAATGAACAAGGTGATTGATAACATAGAGCAGGCAGACATGGTTAATCAAATACAAGTAAAGGAAAACACAAGCGCTTCAAGAGCTGTAGACAGAGATGGGGTGACAGCCAGAAAATATATTGGACGCCTATATCCACGAACAGGCGAGCCGGGTTGACTGCTTTCTGTGCACGTTAACACGGGTTGGGCTTCTACACGATTGGCTCGTGGTCGCACGTGGCCTGCCTCGCTGGCGATACAGACCTAGAACCCGGCGAATAGAGTACACGTTGGGCTGGATGAGAATTTCAACGAGCTCCCCGCATGGCGGCACATTAGCAATCACACGGCCCTAGCTTACAGCTAGCCAAGTATAGCTGCCTGACCGTCATTGACCACGAATATACAACTACCCTGTTGAAGCGCTTGCAGCAGCATAAAGAATAACGTACCAAGACCACGGGATGCAACATCCGTGGCAATCAGAATGGGCGATCGACCTGCCTTAAATTCGCCAAGAACCCAATCACGTTCCCGCCTGTCACATTAATTAGTGTAATCATCAGGTCTCTGCGAGAACACATACTGTTCTTTATCGCCATGAATTGCCAGCGCAGGCCATCCATCTTGTCTTAAATACTTGGTAATGTCATCCGCGACCCGTTTGGTGCCAACAAAAATCAGTACTTTCGCGTTCTCGGCGCTGATTTGGTCCAGATGCTTGATCAACTTCGCACGCTTTTCAAAATCGCTGCACACTTCAACAATTTGCTGAATATTGTGATTGGCAGTGAGTTCCATTGACCCGATATTAACCTGTATCATATCTTTCAAAAAGTCCTACAAAGCAGATCAGTAGATATATCACAACGCTGCCACAATGTCTTACATTGGCAAGCTTTTGGACGTCCTTAGGCCACGTTGCGCTAAACATAAGTGTCTGTCGATCAGGGCGAATCTGAGAGACAATCTTGCGAATTTGGGGCTCAAACCCCATGTCTAGCATGCGATCGGCTTCGTCCATGACTAGGTAAGTGATACGGCGCAAATTGGTTTTTTGAGTCTCCAACATATCGATCAGGCGACCTGGCGTAGCTATGACCACTTCGACCCCGCGTTGCAGATCACGAATCTGTGGACCTTTCGGAGCACCGCCATATATTGCTGTATTTCTTATGCGAGAGCTAGAGCTGTTTGGAGGGTCAATAAGTCATTCTTGACTAAGTGAAAAGATCTCATACCCAAATTTGGTACACTCTTGCTGAATCTGTACAGCCAATTCACGAGTCGGAGCCAAGACTAGGGCAATAGGGCCATCTCCAGGCGCCAACAGAGGTTGGCTATTCAGATACAATGAACAGAAAAACTTGAAGAAATATCGGATAACGTACGCATTGATATGGAGCATAGCCGGAAGAGCAAAAGAAATCGTTTTCCCACTTCCAGTCTGCGCAATTGCAACGACGTCTCTGCCACTTAATGCCATAGGCCAAGCCTGACATTGAATGGGAGTTGGAGAAGAAAATCCTTGTGCAAGAATCGAGGACATGATATATTCCGGGAATCCAGCTTCATCGAATGACGATACTGGTCTAGGAACCCCTCGTCCTTGTACCTGAAACAAAACCTGTGACGAAAATTTGACCAATGAAAATGAAAAGTACTAACCTTGATTTCTTTACTACGCCTAAACTCATCAATATCCCTCTCACTGCGAGAGGAAACTCGTTTGTCTTCCACATAGAAATTTTTCTCAAAACGTTCTAGTTTTTGTGATGTCCAATCGACCGTCTTCAAACCTCCACCAAGATTGTGCATTTTATCGTCTTGCCCACCCCACCCGCCACCACCATAACCACCACCACCACCATACGAACCATAGCTACCACCATAACCATTACTGTTGTAACTCTAAAAGCCGGGTTAGCCATTTCTGCTTCAAAATCATCAATTCACTTACCATCTTGTGAAATATGGTACAGGTATGTGTGGGTCGAAACAAAGAGACAACGTAGTGCGAAGTAGAGAGCCAGAGCACAGGCGGCGAGGGAAAAAAAGGGTATCGCAAACAACACCACATACTACCGGCACGCGTCCGGCACGTTTACTTTTGAAACTTTTACATTCTTTGGATGTCAGTGCGAGTGAAGTGTAACAATTTCCTTCAGAAACATATCGGAATCCAGACATAAAGATCAGAGGGCTACCTTGAAGTCCACAACAAATCCACACAATTTAAACCAGTATTTCATGCGATGACAAGGATTCTGTCGCTGCTGAGCGCTAAGCATTGAGGAAAATCAGTTTTAATGTCTACCATTGCCAGAGTCCCATTCATGAATATTCCTGCAGACGATGACAAAATATCAGAAACAACACATATTTTCGCAAGTTATTGGGGCAGATTTTCTATCACCCCATTTATTGACACCGTCAGCTACACACTTTGCGCTTTGCCTGACAACATATTTATGCAAGGCCAGTAAGCATGATGATATGGATCCACGACGTGTATTTATTCAAGAAATAAGCCCCAACTGTCTGGATATAGATCTTGGCCTGGGACCGGGTATACGCAAAACCTCTGGGTACTGCTTCTGTCTAATGTGGTTGGCTGAGTAGATCGTCAGCGTTACATCAATTCTCCATTATGGTGGAGAAATGAATGAAGCATACCTATCGAAATTTAAATAATCTACATGATGATACATGTTTTCAGCAGAGGCCTCTTCTTCTTCTTTATCGAGTCGGGAGGGTAGCGTATGACCATCTGTCTAACAAGGTCTTCAAAAACATCTAGGACGTGCATGTTCCGCTTAGCAGAAGTTTCATAAAATGGCAGTCCCCATTTCGTGACTAGGGACTGAATTGTGCTTCGGGGTACTTCTCGCTCGCTCACGAGATCGAGCTTAGTACCGACGATGACAATAGGTATAGACTGGCCGTATGAATCCCGAGATGATTTTAATTAGTAGCAGGACCAAGTCTGAATCACAAGCTACTCACAGTGTCACCACCCTTGATTTGATATATTTGCTGACGCAGGTTGTCCACCTCCCTCAGACTGGCTTCTTGAGTCAAACTCCAATATGGCATATGTTCAGAGTCTTCAAATATATGTATCATAATATAATTCACCTGAAGACGAGGACAAACCCGCGACCAGACTAAACTTTGGGTCAACTTAGCAACAATGGAAACAGATAATTTGACAAATCACCTTGATATAGACTTCGTTTAATCCAGTAAATTGCTCTGCACCCGCGGTATCGAGTACCTCGAGCTAGAAACAAACGATGAGAGAGGCATGGATGTATGGAGGGTGGAGAGGGAGGCATGCGAGAAGGAGGTATGTGAGTGGGCAGTCTTGCCGCTAGCGCTCCTTGTACGGCAAAGCGACACGCACCGATGTAGGTACACTATCTACCTCTATGACACGACGATATTCCTCTAAGAGTAAACGGTAGGTGAACGCGATAAGACGAACATGCAAACAGGACCGACCTTCAATGGTAGGATCATAAGTCTCCAAAAAAATGTCCTGGACAAACCGAACGGTTAATGCAGACTTTCCGACCCCGCCAGCTGTGACACATCTTAGAATGACGTTGTCTGGAGCAAATGGATGAACGCACCTCCAAGGACGACGACATTGAATTCACGCATTCCTACAGAGAATAGAGATACCGAACTGTCGACGACACCTGATGTATAGCTTCCTAGCGTCGCTGTGTGGGAAGTGGCATTGACAAGGTGATGGATCCGAAATAGAATTCTCAGGGAAATCAGCAGGAGATGCAGTGGCCTTGGACAGGTCAGCGTATATGGATGACACTGGCATGATGCTGTCCGCGGCACCTTTGCCAGTGGCATCAATTCACAGTTTCCAACTCACTCTCGCGTTGTACTTGAAAGTTTGAGTTGCGGGTGCGAGCTCGCACAACGAAGCATTCATAACTGAATTGTACCTGCAGGTGCTACTTTCAAATATATGAATATATGATAGTAATACAGTAGTATTGATATACTGATATCATTGCTGGTTACATAAGCTTGAAGCAACAGTCCAAAAGTGTCGAACGTTGCAATTGAACGTTTGAACGCAGTCTGAATTCTGCAACTTGAACTACACAATAAGCTATGGTCCGCCCTCGTGTTTTCTTTGATATCACCGTGGATGGCACACCACTTGGAAGGTGTCGTATACATCACACTTAGAATGTCCACGCTTATCGCTGATCAGTCGTTCAGAGTCATCTTTGAGTTGTACAGTGACAGCGCACCGAAAACAACCGAGAAGTGTGTATCGTCTAACTCTGCTTCGTTCCTGTCACTGACGATGCGCCTTGCATTCACCAAGTTTTCGTGCTCTTTGCACCGGCGAAAAGGGTCTCTCTTCAGTCTCTGAACATCCCCTTTATTACAAAAATAGCATCATCCACAGGTCCATCCGGGATTTCATGATTCAGGGCGGTGGTATGTGCTTTTGTGTATTCAAAGTATCCATTGTAGTTGACGATCTTTCAGATTTTACCAGACGAAATGGTACTGGCGGCGAATCTATCTACGGAAATGTGTTCGCCGACGAAGATTTATCACGTCCTCTAAACTCTGAGGGGTAAGTTCATCTACCTATCTTCGACTTGGAACTTCCTTCTCATCAGAAATCCGCGTCTAAAGTCTTTTATGCATGGCAAATAAAGGTCCCAACACCAACGGTTCTCAGTTCTTCATCACCTTGCGTGATTGCCCACATCTAAGCGGTTGGTTGGTATCCTTTCATAAAATTACACCACTGAAGCAATTACCTCAGGCAAACATGTTGTTTTTGGCAAAGTTATCCAAGGGTACGAGGATGTTATTAAACGGCTGGCGCAAGTCCCAGTGGACGAGAAGGATCGCCCAAAAACGCTTATCACAATTGCTAATTGCGGTGAACTTGAGCTTAGAAGTAAAAACACCCTCGGCGGATACCAAAGTTGTAGCATTGGGTTCTATCACATTCGCGCCATGCTGACAAGTACTTCATAGAGCAATCGTCGAAAGGACTATCTGATATTCAATCTCCATCAATTGATGTAAAGAAGACATCTCGCAAGAGACGGGAAGCACGTGATACAGATACAGAGGAGTCGTGGAGGCAGCAAAAGAAGTCGAAATATAAAAATCATCGTTCTACACCTCAAGATCGCCCCGACGGACAAGGCAGCCAAATTGATACAAATCCCGCAGTAGAAACAGAAGAAGAATACGATGCCAGACTTGAACGAGAAGAACGCCAGCGACTGGAGGCCACCAGGATTAGAGAATTAGAACGTATCAAGAAAAACCATACCTACATGTCTCAGGATGAAGGCGGCATACGCTTCAAAGGTCAGTGCAACTTTGTTTGTGCACCATATCACTCACTTTCTATAGGTCGGGGACGCATGAAATTCATAGACCCAGACTTCCGTTCAGGACGCTGATGCAGTACCCCCCTTTTGTAAATAATCAATGGAATTAGAATACAAAACACTGCATAGATTACGATAAGCAGGTGCAAGTGAGTAAACCTTCCCAAGTTCATACAAGGAGAACAAGCGAATTCCACAAAAACGAATGCTTCTCTCATATGACGGTTTAGGCCTTTTGATCTGCTATATCCTCTGCATGATCTCCACTTTTTTTCATATCTTCACCAACAGCTTTGATAGATGTGTCGTCTTTTTTTGCGCTGGCGGCATTTGCGAAACTTATTGACGGCCTAACGGTGGCGGCAGCTGAATTCAAAGGCTTGGGTGATCCTGGAATAGGGGGTGTAACGATAGCATGTGGCACTGGCGGTGTCCTAGCACGTGTTCCCGAAAATCGCTCAGTTGCTTGGCGTGAATTTGTGCGCGACATGGGGTGGGGCAACCGGTCTTTTACAGTATCGCGTTCCTTTTCAATACGGTCAGTTACTTCTTTCTCTTTGGATGACACATCCACAGGTCTTAACGCATATATGAGGACATCAACAAGATCAAGAACAGGGCGCATACTTAGCTGCACCAAATGGATTGGACCTTGATATGCCAGCCGGGCTCGCAGTGATTCGAGGCGATGACAGCGGACTAGGGCTTGCCGAGGTGCTGGAAGACCTGGGAAGCAGTTCGAGCTTCCGACGACTCAATTGAGGGGTCGGCGGAGTAGAATTTGTGGCTGGATACGTGCTAAGACGCTTGGATCACTATAATCATATTCATCACTCACGTGAGCTACCATTATGAATGCTTGACTTGGGCTTTGCGCTTCGCCAGTCGCCCTCGTCGCTAGCACTGACAGCATCTTTCGCTGGGCCTAAGTCGCCCCGCCCTCTGAGGCTACCAAATTTACTGGTTCCCGATTCCTCAGTGGCAGAAGCTTTGAATTTACTTCCAATAGTCCACACTTCTTCTTTGTCTGCCACACCCGCGTGAGCTTCCGGAGTAGATACGCCTGAGCCTCTTCTTTTGAAGGATGGGGGTTCTGGCTCAGCAAGGCGCGTAGGGGGACGATTAGCTCTCCAATCGGTGATGCCATCCGAAACACCAGAAGGGGCGCGTTCAGCTGGGGAAGGGCCATCAAAGCGACGACGTGAAGACTCATGTGAATCTTGCTGGCTTGCAATGGGGCCTTCACGACGCCAATTTCCGGCAAATTTTGTATCGTCCTCAAAACCGCCACCAAACCCGGCACGCTCTTTAGCTAATATATTTTGTCAGTATATATATATATATGCAAGAGAGATAAATCAAAGCAATACATACGCGGTTCCGCCACGCTTACACGTATGGTGCGACCGGATAAATTCTTCAGATGATACTAAGGAAGGGCGTTTCATGACCGAATATTGCACTCACTGATCCGCTCTTTGCCAATGCATCTTTTAAACCTTCAAGCTCAGTAAACTCGATGTACCCGAAGCCTTTGGGTTTATCTTCTCTATCTTTGATGATCTTGACCGAGATGGTCTAACAGTACGGTCCAGCTATTTTCATTTAAAGGCAGAGATGATCACGTACTTGCTGAGGAGCAAAATAACTCTCTAGTTCTGACTCCGTCATGTCAAATGCGAGATTTCCTATGAAAGCAGTATAGGGGGGTTGTGTGGGTAAAGGGAGATCTTCACGAGGAGGGCCAGACGGTCGATCGGCTGTGTGAAAACGATGATCAAAGATGAAGTATGCTGAGAGAAATTTACATGGAGTGGTTGTACTCACGCCGCGAACTCATAAAGTCGTCCCTTCTACCAAATCGATCTCCACCACGAGCTCTTTCCTCGTCGGTCTTGGTAGCAGCTTTGTGCATTAAAATTTTGATAAGGTGTGACGCGAAAGCAAAGAGAGGGAAGAAACACCTACGAGCGCTCGGAAGAGAGTCCATTTCATCTGCCCAAGAGCCCAAGGCTGGAAAAGAAATACTTTCAAGGTGCAAACTTTGGCGGGAGCGATAATTTGCCCACCACTATCGCCCAAGAACTCGTTCAGGGACATCTTGGGTCCTTTTTGCTTTTTCGGCGCTGTGCAATGCGATAGCTAAGATTAAATACTATACTGAGAGGGAATACGCTATACGCACCCATATTGCTGTTTTTTTTGTCGATGATTGAGGTTACTCTGTATTCGATGGAGGCTGAACAGGGATGGCAAGACTGAGAATTACGGGAGTTGTCGGTTGTTTGGCAGCATGGACACATTTCTCACGGGCAACTGCGAGATCACTGGTAGCAACTTGGGTAGCAAACCACCTGAAAACGATAACCACATCTTCAGCATTTATTATGATTCTCTTAGAGGTAAGCATGTATCACTACTTATTCATTATATATACATATCAGACACCGTCCATCAGCCACACAATGTGATTATCCAGACAACCCTTGCCGATAAAATAGCAAAGTGAGTGTCGCTCATACACTTGCGTTCTCGTGCTCAGCATCCAAGCAGACCATCGTCACTCGATGTTGCATTCGTTGATTTTGACGGTGTCAGATTTCACATCTCCACACCCGATCGTAAAACTGTGATCCAGTTGTCGATGAACATTCGGTGCTGGGATGAGCTTGTTCAGTTTGGTGCGATGAACATCTTGCAACGGGAATATGGTTCTCTCCTCAAGCCCAGTCCCGAACCGGAATACAACGTCAGCCTGGATATCGATCTTGATCAAGTTCCAGCTGAGGAAGGTATTTACTGTCCACATGTTGTGTGACCTTTTCTTTATTGATCTTATATCAGAAGCTCGCGAGACATTTATCCGATCTGTCTCGCTCTTCAAGCGCAATGCGTTAGCTGCGCCTTTTGAGCTCGCCTTCAAACAACAGAAAGAGTTAGAAGCTTCAGGTAGCAGCCAAAGTGAACTCATGCAGATTCATTACCGTGATGAGGAAGCGATATACGTGCAGGCTTCGCAGGACCGCGTTACTGTCATATTTTCCACTGTCTTCAGAGAAGAAACGGATCGCATTTTCGGCAAAGTTTTCCTCCAGGTACGCGTTTCATATAATTTTAGCTGTTCTATTGTAACCTTGCTATATCGTGTTAGGAATTCGTTGATGCGAGGCGGCAACCTAGTATTCAGAATGCTCCTCAGGTACTATATAACAGCCGTGATCCACCCTTGGAAATTCGCGAAGTACCTGGACTACGGAACACTGAGGATATTGGTTATGTTACCTTCGTTCTGTTCCCTCGTCACTTTACAAACCCTACCACTGCGACAAACACCATCTCCCACATTCAGCTCTTCCGCGATTACCTGCATTATCACATCAAATGCTCGAAAGCTTATATGCATTCACGCATGCGCCACCGCGTTTCCGAGTTCCAAAAGGTGCTGAACAGAGCCAAGACAGAAGTTGCGACGACTGAAAGAAAGACCGCAAGGTAAAAATGGAACAGACATGCCACCTACTGTGATACTGACCGTTTTATAGTGGGAGAACCATGTCAAACCGATGAGCAGACTGAAATACCTCTGTTTCGCTTCACACGAGCGAGCGGGCCTCTTTTGAACATTCTATTATTGAAGAGCTCAGTGGCAATTGTATACTAGTAACTCTAGTTAGTATTCGTAAGAAGTCGCTCCTCCATGTATTCACCCCGTCTCGTCCATGGTTCTGGCGCTTGGGGCTGTACATTGGCATTGTACCAACAGCTACAGGTGCATCTAGCATCCACTGATGCTCTGATTAGCTCATTGTCATTTTATATGTCCCTGGACTACTTTTACCCAGAGTAGCTCCGGTGATAGGTATCTATACATGCGTCACATGAGACTTCTCACACATAGATGCTAACTTATATAACTGGTTCTCTCTGCGAAGCGTATTTCTGTATAAATTGTCTTTCCCCATGTCTACTTCCAAACAGTCTTTTGTTGTCTCTGGGTTGAGCTTGAATGTTTATTCGCGTGCTGAAGTGATTGATTCTTCAGTCCCAGTCGTAGCTTTCTTCCTTCTCCATGGTCGATTTGGATCGACCAAAGATCTAGAGGCAATCGTAGACTCATTATTTAAATCTTCATATGAAGGTCATCCGACAGGAACCAGACGGCGGGATCTGATAGTCATTACATTCGTAAGTGGAATTGTTGTTTTTGCCGTCTCAAAGTGGTTGAAAAGCCGCTATGCTTGCTACTCGCAGGACCAACGAAACCATGGATCGAGATTGGTAGAACAAAAGTCAAATCTCGCCTGGGATACTAAGGACCCAGAGAAAAACAATGATCGACATGCGTAAGCGTATAGATGGTCTGCGATGTTTACAGCACCAGATAACATTTTCCATCATTCAGCATCGATATGTACAGCATCCAAGGTATGACATCGCACTCATGTTCAACCCTTCGGAACCTGAGATCGCTCCTAAATAGCGGGTACCGCTAGCGACGTTATTTTTATGTTGGATTTCTTGCCGTCGTATATATATCCGTCTGCTGAGCGGACCATTGAAGAATGGGGCATTGGCGGCATCAGCTTGGGAGGCCATGCTACGTGGATAGCATTAAGCCGTGGTACTTTTCATTCCCCTATCCGTTGATACAACGATCATTTAACTGACGCCATTCTGGTAGAGCCCAGATTGAAGTACGGTGTTCCGATTATAGGATGCCCCGACTATCTAGCTCTTATCTCACAACGGGCCGAAAAGTCGTCCATTCCGATAGGTCCACCGTATATCCCTGAGTCGTTCGAGTCGTTCCTGAAGCGATACGACCCAGTTTCAACGCCGTTCTATGTTTCAGACGCGTCCAATCCTTTCCTGGGTAAGAAAGTTCTTGTGCTTTCCGGGGCGAAGGATACACTGGTGCCGTGGTTCACGAGCTCAGATTTTGTAACAAGGCTCGAGGTTGGAAAGGAAGGCAGCAAGGAAGTTTTCTTACAGGAAAATGCGGGCCATGAATGCACCCCTATTATGGTAGCTGAGATGTCGCGATTCATATGGGAGAAGTGCCTCAGTGCATAAAGAGCAGCATTCTGTAGTGCAGATAATGTATTCCTGGTACCTTAGGCTATAGCACAGGGAGAAAACCCAAAATTTTTCCTTGAATAAAATGCTAATCAAAGTGTGTGCAAAGACAAAATATAAACACATTTTTTCCCCAGATAAAATAGCAATAAAATTTGAAACTATTGCCTGAATTTACTGAATTTATCTTAGCATGCAACAATGAAAAACATATGGCCCTAATTGTTTATTTTTCTCACAATAAAATTCTATCTATAGTATTAAGTGATTTCAATTGTTCCCAAAATTTTGCTGTGTGTATTTTATGGAGAGAATAGTGACAAAATGCAAGTAAATTCAGGGTTAATCTCCTCATAACAATGTAGATCTTCTTTTGTCTTCACAATGTTTCTTAACCCAAATATTCAAATTTATAGCCAGAAAAAAACTGTTACAATATCAATATAAAATGAAATGTAAAGAGACAAAATAGGTTAAATATAGATCTGTTTGCAATCCTTGCGTAAGTTCAAATAAGCCGTGTAAATCTTGATCTTGACGACACGCTGGTCCTGACTGAATGTGGCTTGTAGGAATTTCCCCCAGCAGATCAGTGTCGATGATGAGAACTGTTGTTAGAAAACCACACAGAAAAACAAACTAACACACAATCCTCCCAGATTCCACGGAACTTGTTTATGGGCTTTGCCTCCTAGAACAGTGGAGTGGTCTGGTTGTTCGTGGGGTGGTACGTATAAAGATCCTTCAAAGTAAAACCCAGAGGTGTATGAGTGTGGATTTTGAGGAGGAGGGATAGTTGAATTTATAGAAAGATAGGGGCTTTGTGGCGAGTATAGACGAGCACTACCTTGCTAATCGTAGCACAAGGTAGGTTTGAGAACAACAAGGATGACGAGGTGATGAGGTTCCCAGTGATAGCTGTTACGATAACACAATTTCCGGACATCTCCTTTCCTTTTATTCTCCGCTTTAACTTTATACTTTAAGTGCCACGCGGCATTTCCCTTTCTCGCGCCGCGTTGCCTTTCTTTTACTTTTGGACTTAAAATCTCTCACGCAGTGGAGCTGACCATACGGGCTAGGCCCTATGACATCATCAGCTACTGCCCTCATCAACTGTATAGTACACATGTACAAACAAACCTGTAGTAGTATATATACCCCAATAGATCCAGGAGACTCCTCAGCGAGTCCTCCTGTTGTATACCAACAAACTCTCTGCAGCTTAAGGGGTAACCACTCCCTCAACATCTTCTTTATAGTGTGTTCTTGTGTGCGCCAGAGTAACTAACTCTTGGTTGTTACAATAGCAGGCTCCTGACGCACAAACTGTAGTGCTCAGAAGGACTCTAATCGAAGGGGATGACAATCACTTTCAAAAGTGACGAGTGACGATGACAGCAGTTAACAGTGGTAGAAGTGGGAAGTGTTGTGACCACACTGGATCACAAGTAGCAGAGTAGTGAACTTGAGAGTAGAGAAGAAGTCTGGATTGGATTACTTGTTTTTTTTACAAGGTAAAATACAGGGGTTTATATAGTAAAAGAAAAGTAGGCTATGCACAGTATAGCTGTGCAAAAAGAATGAGAAAGAATATGAAGGAAGGAATGTACACTGACGAATCCTGCGTAGGTAGTACAGGATAAGATTGTCAAAAAAAGGAAAAGAAAAAGATAGAACAATAAATGCTGTGAGTAATGTCACAGGTTTGTACAGCCATAAAGTAAAGTCCAATAGCAAAAAGAGAGCAGGAAAATCATGATGTCATGGGAAGATGCAGTAAAAAAGGGCAAGGCAAAACACTATCAGTATCAACACAGTTCCTTTATTGTCAGTCAGGCATTCTAAAAAAATATGTGTCCATAAAAATGATTCAAAAATCAAAAATAATTGCACTGTAAATGAATGTTCTGCTGAAAAAAAAGAAACTGGAGCCGCCGGTCCACCACCTAGTCCAAATCCGACAGTTCCATGGCCTTACCAATGGACTGGTTGCGTTGGACCACCTGATCAAACGAGGAAGGGAGAGGAGTAGTTCCAATTTGGAACAAGTGAGTCCCAGGCAGCGTGTGATAGGTGTAGCTGTAGCGAAGACGATGGACAAAAGATAAGTGTACCTAAGTGAATGGGACAGCAATAAACATGGGCGACGCAAGGGGATGAACCTTCTCCAGCTCAAAAACTACCCACCCACGCTCCAACCAGGCAAGATGAGCGACCGATGTTTTGATAGTATATGATGGTAGATCGACGTCATGAAGATGGACCTGTTGCCCTATTTGAACCGGCCGCCGGGGCTTTGCTGATATCAGCAGTGGCACGTGGTAGTCAACGGATTGGCGACGGAAGCGGATAGGAAGTGGTGACATCAGAAATGGTGGGAGTGCAAATAAGATGAGGAGGAGGGGGGTGGAGGTGACGAAAAAGTGGATTAGAATGGGGATCCAGAAACGACCGCCAGGTGAGAATAAAAATGAGAGGAAGGGGCCCATGGTGGGGCTAGGCAAAGGAAGGGGAGTAAGGGAAACAACAAAAGCGAGGGCGCAATGCAATGTGTAGCCAGTGGCGACGCGAAAATTTGCCGAAATGCTGAAACGCGGAAAGTACCGAATGGAAAAGCAAAGGTGAGCGTGACTGGATTGCCTAATAGAGGTGGTGCTGATCAGCCACAAGTTCGAAAAGGGCAATATTAATTACTATTCCACGTGGCACTGTGCCTGTGTGGCGCAAAGGCGAGTCTTTTTGAATATTCGCTTCGTTATTGACACCTGTCCATGCTACCAATCAACTTTGGTGCATGACATCGGCATCAACACCCTCCAACGACACACGGAGAGGGTGATCACTGATATTTTGCGCCAGTTCTGCATGACCACAGTCTTCCTTTGAAATTGTGTTCTCGCCGCTTAACTCCATTTCCATATCAACACTTAGATACATGTCTTCAATCAAAGAATTTTCTTTGCGATGGTCCTTGGTTTTCTTACTGCAGGCATCCACTGGGGAAGATTCCAAGCGGACAGGCTGCTCGCTGCCAGATAGTACCTGGTCCATAGGAGGGGAGTGCTGGCTGACTGTGGCGTACTGAGGAATCTAGGCCCAAGTTGGAGTGAGAGACCACACTCATCTTGAAAGACTGTACTGTTGTTATGGTTGTACTGTATAGGTGGTGGGGCCAAAGTTGGGGACATAGGGCTTCGGAAGGGGGGCGGTAGATGTTTTGTGGGAGGGGAGCGGTGGCGACTTCATTGAATAGGTGTTTGTTTGGGGTCCACCAACGGAGGAATTACGGTGATGGCTCGTGGGAGTGCCTCTAGAGATTGTGCTGTCGTAGTGCGTCTGGGAACCGGCCTTGGAAGGATGGAAGGTCGAGGCGTAGAGGGTGCACTTAGTGAATGTGTATTGTCCTTGGCAGGTAACACTGGTGATAACAATAAGCACACCGTAAGAAGACTCATCATCAATGCGACACACCATTCACAGCTTTTGGAGCAGAAATAGGGCTTTCTGATGGAGCTGGCGTGGTGTGTGGCAATGATTCTTGAGGGGATGGGGCAATGGAGGGACGTGGCATCGAGGTTAAGGCTACATTGGAAGGGCGCAATGAATCTGGTACTTCATTACCTAAAGACAAATAGACTCTGATTAGATATTGCTGTTACCACATAAACAGACCATGTACCAAACACTGCTCTCAAAACAGGGTCAGGCTAATACCCAGAAATAACAGATGAGAGGTCGCATGGTGGTGGTGCAAATTTGTTCATTGCTGATGCCGGGTGATCACAGCAGCTGCGTAAATTGAAAAAACTAGCACCAGACAATCAATGTGATCCTGCCACTTCTGAAGGCGCAATGCTTTATGGAGGGCTCGGATGTGAAGAATTATTGGTAGGCACAGATTCAGCGACAGAACCTTGAATACATTAAGAGCAACATGAGGCATAGGCAAATATCAGCTTACCAGCCTCAAAAGCTAACCTCAAAAGATGATCAGGCTGGTAACTTTGAATATAATGTGAGATTAGTAGACGTGTGAGCAAAGTGAGCATACCTGCAGCCCACCGTCTGTGACCTGGAATTGCGTACAACTAGATAAGAGTTCCCCTTGTTCTGATTTGTTTGCTGGAGTTGCTGACAAGACATAGACTAAGATCAGCAGGATATGAGATGAAGATAAATTACTCACCGGAACTGGTGAATGCCCCTTCGTCTTTTGGTTCTTCTTCCGGTATTGGAGGTGCTGTATTGATATCGGTATAAGTGCAATTGGAGGATATGCAACTATAATTCTACTTACTGCTTTTATGTGCGACATCAGTAGATTTTAAAGAACGAGAAGCTTCTGATCCTGGGGCCATGTGTAAGGACCATTTTATTATTTTCTTATTTTTTCTATGTCTTGGTTCTCAAACACTTTTCCCATTACACCTCTGGCTCTAGGGCTGGAGGTATCATTTGCTATTTTACTTCTCATAGCCCTCACAGGCTTTCTCAACCATCACTACCACTTTATATCACAGATCAGAGACTGGGTATCACTCCCAGCTAGCCAGCACAATGGGTAGAGACTGGTAGTAGGCATCTTGCCAACCAGCTCCAAGCCCCATCAGTGCCTGGATATACTAATAGACACTTTAGTCATGATCATACCTCATCATGAGGATACAGTTCCTGAACATGTGTGACAACACCTATTATTAGTACAACTCTCTCACCTGCTGATTAATTATTCAAAGTCGTACAATAGTTATTCCTTTTTCTTATTGGTCGATTTATTCCTCAGACTACTTTTCATTTATTCCCCTTTCGGTCTGAGGAACAGACGGTTAGCTATATAAGCCCTGCACATCTCATATATAGTTCTTTAGCTTTCTATTACTTGATTTACCCGTTTTACTCCCCAACCAAAATCCTTGAGTTTACTCCACAGTCCTCTACTTGCTATATTTACTAGCATCTGTTGACCTCAAGCTCATTGAACCTCTTACTCCCTGAAAAGTGCAGTCGGAAACGGGTATTGATTTTGTTATAGTCTAACGTTGCCTCACACCATGTCAAAGGTCAAAAGGGCGCCATGCTGGTTAATGAAACACTCACAATTGTTCCTCTTTGTTTTAGACCTCGTAGTTTTAGAAAAAGAGCAATTTGCTGGCTCCTGAGGTTTGCTCCCCCGACTTGACCCAGTTTCTGCTGGGAAAAGAAGCAAGATGTGTGAAAAGTAAGCTTAAGCATTGTAGTACTGAGGCCTGTATGTTGCTCACCTCCATGTTGCTGTTGTGCTTGAAGTCGAGTAGTTGGCATGTAGATGGACTGTGGCCAGGTGCCAGTATACAATCTCATAGAAAACCTAAGAGCTGAACAGAAAGAAGAAGTGATCAGTTCAACTTGGCAAGGACAAAGGGAAACCAGCCTTACAAAAAAGAGAAAAAGGGACCAATATCCACGTACGTGTGTGCATGGACATGATTATGAGGGTTGCCTCATGCATGATATCGGGACAACAAAAACAGACATATTGATGCAATATATCTAGAATTGAAGTCACAATGTGCAGCACTAGTCAATCAGACAATCAGAAAAAATACCAATGGAGGTAGGCGCATAACTAGAAGAAAAAAGTGGTGAGAAAGAACCAAGATCTAGAGCTACTAGTATACTATGTCTTCTCACATTCAAGGCCATGGTGCCACAGCTTACTTTCCACACTTGCTGTCTCATTTCTAGCTCCCAGGGAGAATATATCTCAGCTGATAACAATGTGAGTAGGTTGAGTCTCTGACAGCGCATTAATGGTGATATACTAATAGTTTTATGTAGCCTCACAGGATGGTATATTGGCTCTCTCCCATCGGCTCTGACGAATCTGACTCTGAAGGAAGTGGGAGCATGAATATTGCTAAGTACTGTCTATCTTGTAGATATTTCACCCGCCATCTACCAACAGATACAATTATCTCCCTTATCTATACCACCAGAATCCAAGCAGCTGGGTACTCCTGATCTCCCAACTCGCAACATTCGTCCTTATGGTTCCAAATCTGACTCTGGCTTAACCTGTTGGTTTGCCTTGGCATCTCCAGCACCGATTGGCGCGCCCTCTAACCGTCTTCGAGCAGGGGCCTCAGACCTTTATATTCATTATAATACATTGGATAATTTGAAGCAAGCCTGGTTGCATTATGACTATGGATGGACTTCAATCACTGATCGCTTTGAGCGGAATGATGGCACCACTGTGCACCCCTTGAACTCTTGCCGTGTGCTGGAAATACGGCCAAGCAATGGCGCACCCAGTTGGATTTTGAGGAGTACTCAGGCCAGCTACCAGTTGCAAGGTTCCAGACACAAAAGTGCGCTTTTGCCAAAATTAGAGGTTATGACTGCTGATGTAACAACCAAGAGTTAGTTACTCCGGCGCACACAGGAACACACTATAAAGAGAATGAAGAGGGAGTGGTTACCCCTTAGATTGCAGAGAGTTAGTTGGTATGCAACAGGAGGACTCACTGAGGAGTCTCCTGGATCTATTGGGGTATATATACTACTACAGGGTTATTTGTACATGTGTACTATACAGTTAATAGAGACAGTGGCTGATGATGTCATGGGGCCTAGCCCGCATGACCAGCTCCACTGTGTGAGAGAGTTGTGTCTATAATGAGAGGAAAGGCAACGTGGCGCGAGAAAGAGGAGTTTGGACAAAAGGGGAAGTGCTGCGTGGCACCCTGTGTGAAAGCTAAAGTAAAAAGTTAAAGCAGAGAATAAAAGTAAAGGGAAGGTCCAAAAATTGTGTTATCGTAACAGCTGAACCACAATAGGGAGGAGGTAGTCAACGTGCAGTTTCAGTCCCAGCTGATCTTGTTTAAAACTTGAGATATTGTATATACAAATAGGTAGCTAGAAAGAAAATCAAAGACATGTGTTCGTACTGAATTGTTGAAACCTACAACATCAGGATTGCGTCACTGAAATATGTACAGCAACCTACTAGCACCTTCTGATATTAAAGATTGATGAAAATGGAAATTCAGAAGAATATTTGATACTTGATGTTTATCCTTTGAGGGAAGTAGATGGCAATGTATTCAGTGCAAAGGCCGCCAGACAATCACTCATGAACCTGCACAGTGGTTAGACATAATTTGTTTTTAGCTTTCTGAAGACTTACAGGACTATGACATGGCACACAATTGACACATTACATCTCCTACGCGCAAGAAAAGGTGTGGCCGATGGTAGAACTCTCGTGCTGGGAAAGGTAGTTTATTTAGAGGGACACTTTATTATGTAGTGAAAATTTACCGCTGGTCCTGTAGGCTTGTTGCGAAGGATTGCCATGGTGAAAATTATGCAGATGTTTGATGTTGATTGCCAGCCATGAGGGTATATATATGATCTATAGTAAGGATCCGGAGTAACCATGAGTGCCCGTGCGGTAAAGGCATGGCGAGTGACTTTACAAAGAGATCTAGAATATTAATCAGCTGAACTCGTGCAAAAGATATGAAAGACATTTAAAGGCTTATAATGTACATAGCTGAGTATACAGGTATGTTAAACACCTGTAGCATTTTGCGGATGGCACTAAGTTTGGACAGCTTGTACTATGGAATGAAATATGTTGAAGAGCAAAATGGTCCTAAATACCTCTATGCAATCATGGTCAGTACACTAAATTCAGCCATGATCAATTGTTTGAAAAGCCTTAAGCTCGTGCCTGGATTTTATTCTATTCACTTGCGCCGCTAAGGTCACATCAAAACGAGGCCAATGCATGTGCTTACCAATGGGTTGACCAGGTAATGCTGCTCTTTTTGAAGTTCTAGTTGAGTTTTTTCACCTATGCATATGGCTGATGTGGACTTTGAAGTTGGATACGTGTTTTGATTGCCTTGTGATTACCCACAAAAGCCCCCCCGCACACCCACAAACTCAGCTTATTTGATCCTGATAGGTATATATATTCAGACAAGATTTGGACGGCATCTGCAGATCTGATGGGAGATCATGTCCATATAATTAGCCAGACATTTGCATTGAGAAAACACGAGTCTTACCATCAAGCCCTCGTGCGCAGACCTGACTTGCAAATATCCTAAGCCAGTGAACAACCATTCCTTCATCATGAAACCCAAGGAAATTTGATTCAAACACCTAAAGACAATGTCAAAACATAAGGCAGCAGTGAACACCTTAGCTTTCTCTCCTGCTGCCGTTTTCCTGGCAAGTGCTGCTGATGATGGGGATTTTTTAGTAAGTCGACAAAGGAAGCGAAATCCATGCTAAATCCATGGACTCATACCTTGGCGCAGGTGTATGAAACAGATAATTGGAAACTCGTGTGCCATTACCAGGGGGAGCATAGAATTCGAGTGATAGCCTGGGACCCGTTGGTGAGGGCGATCATTACTTGGTCTAGCAACGGTGATATCAACCAACTGCTCCTAGAAAAGGTAAGATAGACCTGTAAATTTGTTACTGTATGTGCAAACAGACCATCCTACAGAAAACAGAAAACGACAAACAATGGGTCCACAACGTTGTCGGCTGCGTTCATGCCATAGAAACTATTCAAGACAGCACCCAGCTTGCTATTGGGTACAATAATCAAGTCATATTAGTATGCCAGGATAATATAGGCAAGAAAGAATAGTCCTTACCCAGGATTGACAAACTTGCTCAATACGACTCCTTAGGTGCCTGGGGAAAGATTTGTTTCCTGCCAGTGCCAAAAGCTAGGCACAATGGAAAACTAGTAGTTGTACAAAATGTTCACTATTTACAGAATTGCCTTATCGTGGTATCGTTCCTACATCATGGAATCATGTGAGTCTGGTGTACAATACTACAATTACCCTTCATAATAGCTACGGTCCAATTCACAGTGCGTACTCCATCAGCGGAAAGTTGAATAAACTCTGGAAGATAACACCGAAAACACCTTGAATGTAAGTGGCACCATAAGACCCATGCCTGTGAGCTTACTTTGCATATGCAGTGGTTCATCATCATTGTCTAAAAACGGCAAGTTTCTGGCCATTTTGAATCTTCAAGACGGGGTAGATTTTTATTCAATATATAAAAGGCGGCTAGTAACTTCAACAGAATATGTACCACAGGCAGAGTACAATATCCCGCTGAACATCGAGTTTGTCAATGAAGAGGGTTGGTTTGTTGCAGGGGCTGGGGTTGGGCATGGTGCATGCATTTTTGTCCGAGGCCCACTGGAGCCTCTGCAGGTCTTGAAACCTTTGATAGAGCACGATGAGCTACAAACAGTGGTGAGTATACCACTTCTTGAAAAGCTTGAACCGCTCACGTTGTTGGGATCATTAGACATGCAGGAATATAGCGGGGAGAGCCTATATTGTTATTTGGACAGTTTGGACCCAGCAAGACGATATCAGGCCTGCAGTAGATGTATGGGTAGAAGCCAGCAATGAGACAATGTCAAAGGAACCCACTCTTTGAATAAAAACGCTGCAGACAAGTTGGACGTCACTTCAGAGGCACACAAGAACAGCGACTTATACATTGAATCACCTGATCTTGCAGAAACTGGGAGTAAATCTGTAAAACACACTGCCAGGAATGAATCAGAAGTTGGAAGAATTGGCCCAATTACCTGCTTTGCTTTGCTAGTCGCCATTATTGCCGTCCTGTCAATGATGCGAATCCTGGAAGAAGATGGAATGGGAATGCTTGAAGAAATAGTAGAGGCATTAGTACCGGATGTCAATGTGAAAGTAAAATAATGTGCCATCAAGAGGCTTCCTGCCTGCTGATTCACAAACTCTCCCTCCCAGCAACTTTCCCTCCCTCTCGCACTGGAAAAGAAGTGAGAGTCGTAGTCCAAAGAAATATGTAGGTAAGGATAGCGGTTTTATGTATGTATCTCAATGTAATAGTACCAAGCACCCATCTACAAAAATAACCAAATTGTGATGCAGACACATGTCAGTATCAGGACAAGCCCTAGTACTAACACTGCGAGGAAAAGGTGAAAAAAATGAAGCATGAAGATGAAACCACTTACCGGTGATAATCGACTCACCTCTTTCCCTGCTCCTCGTCCTTCTCGTCCTTCTCCTTCTTCTCCTCCTCCCCCCACCTCCTCTCCCCTCCCTCCCCTCGTCCTCATCTGCCTGCCCATGACTACTGCGATGGCAACAATGATTGTTCACTACAGTCAGATGTTCGATGAGGAAGATGCGCGCGGAGCTGTTCACCAATATTGACGAAGACAGAATAGCTCGTGTCAACATCTTCCACTGTCATGCACCAAAGTTGATTGGTAGCATGGACAGGTGTCAGTAACGAAGTGAATATTCAAAAAGACTTGCCTTTGCGCCACACAGGCACAGTGCCACGTGGAATAGCAACCCAGTCACGCTCACCTTTGCTTTTCCATTCGGTACTTTCCGCGTTTCGGCATTTCAGCAAATTTTTGCGCCGCCACTGGCTACACATTGCATTGCGCCATCGCTTTTATCGTTTCCTTCACTTCCCTTCCTTTGCCTAGCCCCACCATGGGTCCCTTACTCTTGTTTTTATTCTCACCTGGCGGTCGTTTCTGGATCCCCATTTTATTTCACCTCCTCGTCACCTCCAGCCTCCTCCTCCTCGTCTTCTTTGCTCCCCCACTATTTCTGATGTCACCACTTCCTATCCGCTTCCGTCGCCGATCCGTTGACTACCACGTGCCACTGCTGATATCAGCAAAGCCCCGGCGGCCGGTTCAAATAAGGCAACAGGTCCATCTTCATGACGTCGATCTACCATCATATACTATCAAAACATTGGTCGCTCGTCTTGCCTGGTTGGAGCGTGGGTGGGTAGTGTTTGAGCTGGAGAAGGTTCATCCCCTTGCGTCCATGTTCATTGCTGTCCCATTCACTTGGGTACACTTATCTTTGTCCATCGTCTTCGCTACAGCTACACCTACCACACGCTGCCTGGGACTTACTTGTTCCAAATTGGAACTACTCCTCTCCCTCCCTCGTTTGACCAGGTGGTCCAACACAACCAGTCCATTGGTAAGGCCATGGAACTGTCGGATTTGGACTAGGTGGTGGACCGGCGGCTCCAGTTTCTTTTTTTTCAGCAGAACATTCATTTACAGTGCAATTATTTTTGATTTTTGAATCATTTTTATGGACACATATTTTTTGAGAATGCCTGACTGACAATAAAGGAACTGTGTTGATACTGATAGTGTTTTGCCTTGCCCTTTTTTACTGCATCTTCCCATGACATCATGATTTTCCTGCTCTCTTTTTGCTATTGGACTTTACTTTATGGCTGTACAAACCTGTAACATTACTCACAGCATTTATTGTTCTATCCCTTTCTTTTCCTTTTTTTGAAAATCTTATCCTGTACTACCTACACAGGATTTGTTAGCGTACATGAATGGGGATCCAGAAATAACCATCAGGTGAGAATAAAAAGGAGAGGAAGGGGCCCATGGTGGGGCTAGGCAAAGAAAGGGAAGTGAAGGAAACAATAAAAGTGATGGCGCAATGCAATGTGTAGCCAGTGGCGGCGCAAAAATTTGCTGAAATGCCGAAACGCGGAAAGTACCGAATGGAAAAGCAAAGGTGAGCGTGACTGGGTTGCTATTCCACGTGGCACTGTGCCTGTGTGGCGCAAAGGCAAGTCTTTTTGAATATTCACTTCGTTATTGACACCTGTTGTCACAACCTGAACCAGAGCGCTAGTTCCTTTTTCATTTTCTTTAGTAGATAATCACATGACAGATATAATATGTTAAGCTGCTGCTATTAGCGCGGATAACATAATACTTAGCTATATCAGATCACGTGACCATCACGTTGACAAAGAGCCTAGACTATACAAAAGAACATCAGTCAGCGCCTCCATGGCTGACTTTCAGAAACCGTATATATAGTGAACCACCCCTGTACATATTTCCCTTAGAGTGGTGGATTACTTCTCAATCGATTACCTGGGACGCCTACTGTCGATTTAAGGTCTTTCACCCCTCCGTTAGTTCGCGTAATAGGGGATAAAGGCTTTTACCCAATCACCAACTCCCCAGGAGGTCCCGTCCATGAACGGTAACAGCACCAATCCCTAACCCCCCATCCCCATCATCATCATCATCATCATTTCCTCATCCTAGCCCTACTCAAACGCTCAATCCAAACTACCCACCACCCCTCCCACTACATCACATCCCCCACTCGCCCCCAACACCATTTTATCCTTCTTTCCAGCCAATGTATCACCCCTCATCCTCCCAAGACTCTTCGTCCCCATTCCCCTTTAGTTACATTTTTATACCATCTATCTCTTTGGTGTGGAACCACTGGGATTTTCTCGGTATTACGTAATTTCATCCTTCGAATTCCTCTGACCAGGCCGCGCATTTGCGTCCGCCAGTCGGGAGAAGAACTGACAGCTTAATAAGCGGGTTACATTGGGACAACCATTCGGACCCCAATTTATTACGATACCTTTTACATAAAATTCATAAAATACAAAAATTGTTACCTTACATACATAGTCAGTGGTGGACAGAAGAGGACCACCTTGACTCGAAGAGAAAAGATAGACTACTAAGACCTTAGAAAGCGGTGTATCAATCCAGCTTATCACTGGTGAACTCCTTTCTATGCTTAGTAGAGAATTATACATTTGGATAGGAGAGCAACGCGTCTACTCCCAAGATTACGTATTCAGAGGACAATTTCCTCTACCAGAAATAACAACAATCAGAATCCCATCCCCCGTAATTAAATCCAAAACTCCCCCTCCTCCCCAACTCAAATTCGATGTCAAACCTAGAATATCGAGATCTGCCCGAGCCATCCAACAGCACGGACAGCGCCTTCACCAGGGAAATGATGGATTCATTACCCAGAATAGAAACTCCCCCCCCAAAAGAAGCGCAATTGGAAGCATTCGTAAAACAAGAAGTGGAAAAGGCAGTAAGAGCAACACGGATGCTTTACCAATCGCAATTAGACGAGGCACTCAAAGAAGTGAGCGTCTTAGAAAGAAAGTTAAAGAAGCAATCACCACCACCCCCAGAAAGAACGGAGAGAAGTAGAACGGCATTGGAGAAGCCAGAAAACTTCTCTGGAGATAAGAAAAAGTACAGGGCCTTTAGAGAGTCCTTACTTCTACATTTCGAAGATGATGCCATCTACTTCAGAGACAATAGAAAAAAGATAAGCTTCGTGCTATCTTTTATGAAAGAAGGAGAAGCCGCGGCCTTTCGGACCGACTGGCTGGAAAACCGGGTCGACACTCAACAGCTGGGGCTCGACATCACAAACACATACGGAAGCTGGCCGTATTTCGCAGACAAAATGGAAGAAAGATTCAAGGACAGCTTTGAAAAAGAAGCTGCCAAGAATGAAATATTGACCCTAAAACAGGGCAATGAAACCGCCCAAGCCTTTTTTGAAAGGTTTGAAGAAAAGAAAAGATGGGCGGGATACACAAATAGGATAAATGAAGAGTTCCTAATATCTCTACTCAGAAGAAACATGAATAAGCCGCTAGTAGATAGGGTGATCTACGGTGGGCATATTCCTAGAGATTACCAAGAGTGGAAAAGAGAACTCATCAGAATGGACTATATTTGGAGAGAAAAAGAAAAAGAAAAGAAAGGTTCCGAAAACGGAAAGAAATCCTATTCGGAACAAAAGAAAGAAGGAGAGAAGAAAAGAGACGGAACTGGGTATACCTACACCGGTAACGGAGAACGAATGGAGGTGGATAAAGCGAAGTTCCACACCGAGGGACGATGTTACCGATGCGGAGAGAAGGGACATAGAAGCTTCGAGTGCAAAGACGCACAAAAAAGGAAGCCACAATTTAATGTCCGAGAATTCTTAGAAAAGATGACGAAAGAAGAGAGGGAAAAACTCCTAGAGGGTTTTTAAAAAGGCCAGCGGTACCGCATCGACCGACTGAGCCTAAAGATGTTTCAAATCGATTTCTTCCTTTGACTGTAGATATGTACGACTCAGAATTGTTAAGCTGCAGCTTTAGCGCGGATGTCAATAAAACTATTTCCACCCAGACAAAGAAAGAAATCCGAAACAAAAAAGATGCAACTAGAGTAAAAGCGGCGCAGAGTGATGAGACATCCGCAGTTCCGACGGCGGGCAAATCGCTAGAAGGCGCAGCATTTACGATAGATACTAAGATTCCTACACCCGATGCGGTGAACTCTACGGAGGAAAACACAGCAGAGACTGTAGAAGAAAGGTCAGGAACCCCTTTAAAAAAACCTAGAACAGAAGTTTGGACCCCAGAGTGGGTAGTAGACAGGCTAAGAGACCAAAAGGAAGAAAGATCCATTGGGATTCTGAGTGCCTGGACACATAAGAAAAGAGCGAGAGAAGTAACCCGGGAAACGATAAAAGAAATTAACCGGTTACC